GAGATGAGTGGCAACAGGATTTCAGTTAAATAAAAACCCTGGTGCGTTATTCAGCACTGTGTTACCAAACCGATGGATCTTTCCACCCCATTGTTCGTACGTTGGGCAGAGTGTCTTATTTTGTACTACAGAAAACCGAGGCCACTGTGCCTGTTACTGCAAAAAGAGAGCAAGTTCAGCTTTTGACCCAAAAATTACAAATCAAGATGGAAGACACAAGAACAAAGAGCTCACAGACACCCCTGAGAAATAAAACACTCACAAGGTGTCCATTCTGCTTGAGGCTTCCTGCTACTAAGTAAGCGACGTGAAGCTGAGCTCCTGAATTCTCCTTTCGTTTTCTTTCTACATAATCATACAGCATCCTGCACAAAAGAAATGAGTGTTAATTACTTCGAAAGGAAAGAGCCCAACACCACCCCTTCCTTAGAAAAAAAAGAAAAAAAATAGTAAATCCAGCCCGACATGGAAACATTTCACATAAACACAGTTATTTTAACCAGGATTAAATTAATCTTAATGAGACATCTTCCTCCTCTGCCACTTTGGAGAATCTCAGTCCAACAACTCTATAAACCAAAGGTGAAATGAACACAAGCTCTCAGAGCTTTAATAGTTGGTTGCAGATGGTCTCACACCCTCTGGGCAGCTTGTTCCAAAGTCTCCCCTCAAGAAAGGCGGTTTCTCTCATTACAACCCAGCATGATGAGATTGAGCTGAGACTCAAGCTTTCAGCTCCCACTTTTACCACTGATTTATGACAAATGTCCCACATAATCGGGCAGAGACACTCCTGCACGCTCCGTGAGGACACTACCTGGTAAAGACACTCGAAGATCGCTAGTGCTGCAGCGACAGACTGCAATTAGCATGCTGTCAGCATAATCAGTAAAATAATTCTCTTATCAGGCACTTTCCAGATTCTAGGAGAGAGTTTTAAGCACAAAGATGCCACGGGAGTTCTCCATCTCCAGGTTGCTTTCAAGAGTATGAGAAGGTGTCCCCATTTCATAGGATCACAGAAGAGTTTGGGTTGGAAAGGACCTTAAAGATCATCAAGTTCCAACCCCCCTGCTGTGGGCAGGGAAATTTCACCTGGGTCATCACAGCAAAAAAGTTCTCTGGCTCCTAGTTTAGTGTAGGAGCAGAACTGTTCCCAGCAGAGCTCTCCAGTCAGGTCTACACCATCGCTGAAGCACGCTCAGGTTTACACATCATCTAAATTGTTCACACACAGGCAGAGGAAAGAGACCAAACCATCTCTTTGTTACATTAGACGTCTGAGTTGATATTTGGGTTTGGACAAGACAGGTGAAGCTGGGCTCAGTACATCGCAGCAGAGTACGCAGCAAATGAGCCTTTAGGTTCAAGCTATAGCCAGAAACAAGGAGAGAAAATATTTGTATTATGGGACTTGACACTCTCACAGAGCCTTCAAATCTTATGCTTAACTTCACCTTGCTGTGAAGCAACAGCCCCAGAACCCTCATGAGCTCATTCTTTGTTTTATGAGATATTTAAAAGGTTCCAGCAATTTTTATTCTTCAAGACAAGGTTAAACATTTATGATAATTTTGGAGAAGCAAAAACATCCTGATAGCACAGCTGACTTCTCCATCCTTCCAACATTTACCCGTGCCCATCAAGCCCCGTAAGCAGATATTTATAATGGGTTACGCACACACAGCAGGGTGATCGTTTGTCACACACATGAGCTGCAGTTACACCATTAGTGCTGGTGTATATTTTCCTGACTCTCCTCCCAGCAACATCCACGGATAACGTCTGGCATCCTAAGCTGGGATATCCTCACAGAGGCATAACTCTGCTTGCAGGACGGAAGCCAAGTTCAGAAAACACATCCACATTTCAGGATGAAAGGAGCTACATCCATTTCTGTAATAATATAACGTTAAAACATCTGTTCCGACCTAAATATTTATGATATAAAAGCAGCATAAGGTGTCCAGCTGGGCACTGCTCTCTAAAGAACAACCAAAGCCAAGACCTGCCCACAGGAGGAGCGAGAAACATGTTGAATAATGTAACTGACTGTACCCCAGAAAACACACAGGATTTTAAAATATTTCCAGATAAATTATTTTAATATCGTAACCACAATCACAAAAACAGGAATGAACAAGGCTTTGCCCCAAAACAAAAAGTTTGTGGGATGCATTAATACCTACTGTTTAGCCTGGTTGACGTGAACTCCCAGAGTATAACTCAGCCATTTGTATGTTACCTGTACAAGAGAAAAAAAAATACTTTAGTAAGGAAACCTCTCTTGACTCGTTAAACCACCTTCCTCTGCTCATTTAATGAGTAAATAAAACTCTTTAGGCGCCCTCCCCTCCAAGAAACCCACAGCAAAGCCTGTGAGAAGTGAGAGCACATGGACACCCGCCCCCCTGTGCTTTAATGAGTAGATTGAATCCCTAAGACCTAAAAAAAACACCCTAAAAGGTGGGTTTTTGCGAACAGCTTCTTAAAATGCCATCGCATAAATAAAAGCCCTTCAAAAAGCCCGCACTGCTCAGCTTCACAAGGGAGAAAAAAAATTAAACAGCACAATTTTTAATTGTGAGAAGCTTTTATTGTTCTCCCAAACGACTACTGAGGATTTATCGGATTTCTGACGCCCTCGCCTGTCCCAGGGACACGGGGATCTCCAGCTGCATTGCAAGTCCAACAGCACAGCGCAACAAATCTCAGGAGGCGACAGCTCTAAGCCCAGCCCTACCAGCTGCTGTATTATTTAGACAAGCCGTGTCTTGAAAAAAAAACCTGTTTCTCCTCCTGCTCTGCCTTTTTAAACCAATCCTCAGGCTACAGCCTCTCCTGTCTCAAATACAACAATTAAATTGTTATTAATCTAGCAGTTTACTGAAATAAACTATAACGACGACAGCAGCTCACATTAATGCTTTGACAGATGCACCAACTTTCCTGTAGCAGTTTCTCAGCAAAAATCTTTATTTTGAAAGAAACACAAACACACATGCCTACCATTCTTCTGAATTGTCTTAAAAAAATAGCAAGGCTTCAAGAGGCTACAGACAATAAGTAGTAATTTTATTTTTGAGCTTGAATAGTGGTCCTGACTGCCTTAACCTTTCACAGAAAAAAAAAAAGAAGTTTCATACACTTCTGTCATACCTTGAGCTAAAACACTGCTGTCACTGCAGCACCTTTTTTTTTTGTTTGTTTTGAGGATAACCAGGTCACCTATTAGGGAAAATAAGGAATTTGGGGAGAGCTGCTTTTCCTGCAATATTAATGATGGCATCACCAATTCTCTTCAGAACCATTAAATTAATTTAAGGCACAGGAAGGGGAAAAAAAAAATCCTGACAAGAAAGGCTTCTCCTGGCCAGCCTGTAGGAAAGCCTGTATTAACTCTACCTGTGGAAAAGCAAATACCACAAACGCAGCCAGGCACCACCCATACACCCTCAAGGAACTGCAAAACTTGGGGAGCCAACAGCCCTGAGGGGCAAAGCGGCTGCAGCTGCTGAGGCCACATTTCTCCCATGCCTGGCAAGAGGAAGCTGGGCACCCACGTGTGTCCTGCAGGTGGGTGCGATGGGGTGCACTGCCTCTGCCTCACCTTCGCCAACAGAAAGCAGCTGCCTCCCGGGGGGTTTGGGCTGGTGGGGGATGAGAGGGGGGGGGGGGGGGGGAGCTGCGCCTGTTACCAAAAAAAAAAAAAAAAAAACCAACAGTCGAGAAACTCTCTAAAATTCAATTTGGAGATTTAGAAAGCGGCACTTCTTTATTCAGCGCTGGGGACATGGGGGATAGCTCTGCCCAAGCGTGTCCACCTTGCATCCAAAGTTAATTTCTTTTTATGTAACAACTACTTGACTGGAAAAGGGTATAAGTTAGTTTACACAGAAATGCATAAAATGCTTGCTAGAAACTCTCTAAAATTCAATTTGGAGATTTAGAAAGCGGCACTTCTTTATTCAGCGCTGGGGACATGGGGGATAGCTCTGCCCAAGCGTGTCCACCTTGCATCCAAAGTTAATTTCTTTTTATGTAACAACTACTTGACTGGAAAAGGGTATAAGTTAGTTTACACAGAAATGCATAAAATGCTTGCTTTTAAATTTAACATTTAAAATGATTGTTTTTTCTAATTATCAATATTCTTACCCTAAAATAATCATTGCTCAATTCTACTTAGCTCTGCTGATAGGAACCCTTGATATTCGAATGTAGAGGGGGAGGGGAAGGGGTTCCCAAGCAGCAGAACTTGGTGTCCA